AGAGGTGAGAGCCGATACAAGGAAAAAAGTCACACGGGATTGATAGGGTTCGGTGTGGCCCCACAAAGCTAGTTTTTTATTTATCACGGAATCACCTGTGCAACTGTGCTACCGCCGGGCGATAGATTAGTCGCCCGTTTCATTCTCTCTTTTCAATTCTCTCTCATTTATGCATGAATTTAATGATATAAAACTTTTTGGAGCCTCCTGAATAGGACTATTGTACCTGCTCTTAGCTCAAAAGATTCGTCTCGCAAATTAGTCGCAATCTGTGCAATTAGTTATTTTTTAGCCTATATTTAATATTTCATGCAGGTGTTCAAACGTTCGATGTGATAAGGTGTAAAATTTTTGTGGGGGAACTAAACAGGGCCTTAATACTTCATGCATGTGTCCAAACATTCGATGTGATAGGGTGAAAAAACTTTCCAGGGGATCTAAACAGGCTTAACCAATTAATTCTGATAAGTTGCTAGTGCTCCTCACAAAGGCACATACAAAGAACAACAGATGTATGAAATCCTCGAAGTCTGACTCATTGCAAATGACACAACCTGGCCCTGATTGTCTTGTAAACATTATTTGTTGTAGCATATTCCTTGTGTTTAGTCAAACTGTTAGAAGCAATCATATGCAAACCTCCAACTTCATGCTACATTTGCTCTTCCAAATTAGTTGCAAAGGGACAACTGGTTGATAATGTGCAAAGAGGAATGAGCATATACCTTCTTCGATTGGTAAATGTTATTTTCCTATAGGTAGTTCCACACATTGTTATCATCATCTGGAGTGATATCTTCTTGTCATATTCATCATAGATTTTTTGCGTTGCTTGTGCGGAGAGCGGAAGAAATAACTTATTTTGCAAGTCTAATGTTTATATAAATTCAAACACCAATTCATCCTCTCTCTCTCTCTCTCTTTATCTATCTATCTATCTATCTCAGTTTTGATTCGAAATCCAAGCATAACATAATAAAATAAAGGAGATGAAAAGACGATACAACAACACCAATCAAAGTAAATGAGCAACTTATTTAAAGTTCAAGCCTATTACTAAATCTCCATTCAAATGTAGTGAAAATCTACATGACGTATGACTCTAGAGGGCAAATGACCTCTCTGTCCTCTTGACACATTTGAAGTTAGCCCTAGAACTGAAGCATATCTTGCACTATAAGATTTAGTTGGAGTCTTGTTAAAAACCATATCGTTTCTACTAAGCCATAGAATCCAATATAAACAGATGCTCCTATAAAAATCCAAAGCACTTAGCATAAAGCTCAAATCCACAAGCCACAAAGATTTGAATGAAAGGGCTAACCCTATAAAAGGGTTGGTGGGGGGTTTATATAGATCCCCCAAAATTTGACTGCTGGAAGGGAATCTTTACCTACGTTGAACTATCCGATACATGATACCTCCAAGGCGATGAGAGACAGAGAACGAAGTTCCATGAAATTTTGGATTTTCTGAGGCGTCAGACTATCTGATGTGGAATCAGACAGTCCGATACTTTAGAAGCAAAAACTTTGTCCTCAAACGGAGACTCAGGTTCCATGAAATTTCGGTGTCTCTGTGTCATCGGATTATCTGACCCATAATCAGATACTCTGATTTACACTTACAAAAACTCACTTGAGAGGATTTTTCAAATCAAGACAGAGAGTGAAGTTCTGTAAAAAATCGGATATTCTGATACATCAGATAGTTTTATTCCAAATCGGGTAGTCTGATGTTGCTTAAGTAAAAAGGCAAAACATTTTTACTTCGGAATCCAATTACGATAATCTTGGACTCTACTGAAAGCTTGTTTCATGGGATATCAAATCCAGCATAAAAGATGGTCCAAAACCTTCAAAATAAGTTGAAAAACTTGCAAAGAAACCCGATGTAAGTGTTGTGACATGTGAAACAACCCGGAGTTGGAATTTTGGCTTAGGTTTTTCAACTCACACAAACATAAATCATTTTGAGCACTAGTATTCGACCAATTATATCCCCTCTTAATAGTACGTCATCCTAAACTTAAATGTAAAAAGGAAAAGCTATACCAATAGGAATACCTTGACACCATTTTCTTTGTTTATTTGGTACCTACGTCAAAGTCATTTCATCACCGGGACTATCCTCCTATAACTCAATAAGCACATTATTCCTAAATTAGTTATATCTTTCTCTTGATCAATGCTCTTCTTAATTACTAACAAATCACATCTTCTTGATCTTCGGCATTTCATCTTCCATTTCTCAAATGATTGATGTCAATAATCCGTGGCTTTGGTTCATCGGTGCCAAGCCCCTTGCTTGCCCTTCACCACCGCATGGTCCGTCATAGTTGAGCGTTGCTTGCGCTTTACCTTCTTGCCATAGGTAATCAATTCATACCCCGCGTCTTCAATTTCTTCAATTTCATAGGTAATCTCATCCATCGATAAAGTCCATCTTCTAGCTTCTCACATCATCTTCATTTCTATCAATGTTCAACCATGGTGTATGTCCTTCAACAAGTCCATAGATCTCATCAAGCATCTCGTTAATTCATAATATGTGAGGCATCATCTCTATCTGTTAGGCCAAAATCTTATCATTGATCCTCAACATGTAAGCCATCAATCTTCTTGCTTGATGCCAGGACATAACCTATTATTCAAACTCATAGCAATGGTTAGATTCAAAATATGTTGTCATTAATCACCAAAACTTCACATAACACAAGGTTAGGGGACTAGATCTTTCAATATTCGTATTCATATCAGGAGAGTTATTCGTATTTGTATTGGAATTATCAGCTCTGAATTGTATATTTGTTTCTTTCCGAACCAGATAAAACATATTGCTTAGTTTTCATTCCCTAAGATAGAAAATATGTTATGGATGATAGGCAACCTTCTATCTATAAGAGGGGTAAATTCCATTACTCTTGGCTTTGTTGCCCCCCACTAGTTTCAGCCAAGATCAGCATCTTCTTTTCATCCATAATGATTGGTATCATACATGCTTTCTGAAAATTAATTTATAGATCCGTGGACTGTGCATAGGTTTGCAGCAAAGCTTTGAGGCAGAAAAATCTCTTTTCTTTTTCTAGACAATGGATTATAAACCCGGCCTCTACATATTAACTGGATGTACACGAGCGTGCTTTCGCCCACGAGTCCTCTTGCTCTGACGAGGCACCCGTGTGCTCTAGACGATACAAGTGGCACAACAGAAGCACGAATTTGTCCAACGTGGCACTGTACCGTCGACATGGAGTGGGTGAAACACTCGCCACGTCATCACACTGTGAATGACGAGTAAGGGTATCACCAATATATCTTTGCCAACCGGTAGATAGGGTGGGATCCAATAAAAGTAGGCAACTATTGTTAAAAGTTCCACAATGTCTAACTAACTATAAGATGGGTCCTATGATAATATAAAGTTTTGCATTATCCAATAGCATGAAGAGAGAGGAGTGAGGATCAATACATAGAAAAAAGTCAATGTTTTTTCATCTTACTACCAGTTTAGTGCTATTGCTTGGTGCGAATTAATTATTTACTGGTTCAGCAATGCTTAGAGCATCCATAATTTGGGTTTTAGAGGGGACATAAGACGAGAGAGAGAGACAGAGAGAGGGGGAGAGCATGCTAGTACCGGTCCTATCCATTGTACCCCATCCGTCCCAAAAAAAAGTCCAATCCTACCTACGAACCTGGACAAATGTATGTCCAGGTTCGTAGCTAGGAATTTGTTTTTTTTGGGACGGAGTAGTAGGTACTATTCACATAATGTTTGACTATTCGTTTTATTCAAAATTTAGTGTAAATATGTAAAAGTGTAACTTTATTCGATGATAAAAATAAGTCACGACAGAATAAATGACATTTATATAATTTTTTAATAAGACGAATAGTCAAATATCACGTCAAAAGTCAACATAGTCATATATTAAAAAAACGTATGATGGATAGCAACCGATCTTTAGGGGAGAGAGAAAAGAGTAGCAGAAAAGAGAGGAACATGCCATTTGTTTTTCTAATTAGATAATACACAAGATATCTATATATTGCACTCCCTTTTATAGTGTGCTCTTGAGGTATCTAGGCGTAGGCTGTACAAAGATAGAGTCTGACATGAGCTCTTAGTTCAAACATAGACTATCCTCCTACAATAGTTAAGACAACAATATGTCTTAACTATCAATTCACCTAATATATTTAGTTAATTTTCTTTCCATTTCTCCACTCCATGCAACAAAATTTCTTTTAAAAAAGGTAAGAGTCAACTCGTGTTTTGAGAGAGGTTTTTGACGCACGCAAAACGAGAAATCAGATTACCACATGATTAATAAGTATTAATAAATATAAACTAAAAAAATGGATTTATTTGAATTTTTTAAATAACTTCTACAAAGAAAACTTTTGCAAAAAAAAGGCATCATTTAACAGTTTGAAAAGCGTGCTAACAGAAAACGATTTAACAGTTTGAAAAGCGTGCTAACAGAAAACGATGAAGTTGAAGTTGAAGTTTGAAAAATAGAATGTAGCCTAAGGTGGTGTTTGAATCTTCTGAAGATAAAGTTGAAGATAAAGATTAAGTGGTTCACGCAAAACGAGGTGGTAATAACGTGTGATTAATTGAGTTTTAATTAATACAAACTTGAAAGATGGATTAATCTAATATTTTAGAACAACTTTCATATAGAAAGTTTTCACATGAAACACACATCCACTTTTTTTTTCATGTTACCAAATTTACTTACACACTAACGGAGAAAATCCGTAAATAAGCCTCGTTGTACATGACTTAAATAGATACTCCTTTTACTCGTCAGGGTTAAACTATTGCTGTTTGGAGTACATTATGGATGCCTCATCAGGGGAACAGTGTGAACATTGAAGGAGGTCTAATTACTACCCCTTCATCTTTAAAAAAAAAAAATTCAATCCTAACTATGGACACACATGTTTATAGCTAGCGTATGTCTTTTTTTTTTTACAGAGTTGTACTCATCTGAGTTTAGCAGGTAATTGTTACATCCACTCAACAGCTCCACACCAAAAGTGCGCATCAAAACCCCAACGCCCTGAACCCTCCCAATCATCCTCGTCGTCGCCATGGCGGACGCCGACGTCCGCAGCGGGGCGCTTCTCCCGGCGCGACCGACGCCGCAGCGGCGGAGGCAGAAGTGGGCGGTGGAGTTCGCGCGCTTCTTCAGGACGCCGCGGCGGGATCCGTCCAAGCCGCCGCCGCCCGGCCTCCGCCTCGTCGCCCGCGGCAAGCTCCGCCACCACGGCACCTGGCTCCCGGCCGCCTCCCCCGCCGCGCTCTCCATTTCCTGCCCCAGCCAGTCCTTCGCGGTCCCCGTCCTCACCGTCTCCATCGGCGACGTCGTCTTCGTCCGTACCGATCCCGCCCCGCTACCTCGTATTTACTCTCACGCTTGCTGTTGTGTGCTATGATTCATCCATCCACTTAGGCACTTAGCCGTTTAGGTTTGTGAGCCTGCTTATCGAGGCATATGGGGAAATGCATCTGCGAATTGTGGGTTATGTTTTGAATGCGGCAATGGTATGTTTTCTCTGGCCTCCAAGAACCTCGTGAGGACGTTGGTTTTGGACGGTGCGTAGCATCTATTTGGTTCTTAGGTTTGGCCTTCCAACGATCGTTGTTTCTCAAAGCATCAAAGCATGTGGTTGTTTCTATGAGGTCGTGTGATTTGATGCTGTGTCAGTAGTGTTCTTAATCTTTGATGCGTTAGTTCAGTGACATTTGCTTGGTTGAACTGGTTATTTTTGGTGGAGTGGCTTAATTAGCGTGTATTGTGTTCTATTGTGGGTGTCGGAGCCGGAAATCCTAAAATTTATTTGATATGAGGGAGCTGGTTTAACATAGGAGGTATCAAATCATGTGGGGAGGGAGGCCATGCCCTGCTTGCTTCCCCCCTCCCTCCGCCACTTGTTTTGGGGATCCATGAATGCTTTCATGAAACAATCAGTGCGACAAATTGCATGTTATCATATTATTTTGGTCTACGCATGCTATGTGTATTTTTCTTCACAAATGAAGTAATGGATGCTTTTGGCATGTGTCACGTGGCAAATGTTAGCCGTGCAAGATTTAGATCTGCGGGAGGTAGTGATTTGTGCTCATATGGTTTCCTTAATTATTACTGCATATCTTGGTTTTTCCTTGGCATTCAAGCTCCAACTAATGTAGTTTGGACTATTCCAAGCTCCTGCCCTTGGTTTTGAAACATAAAACTTTGGATCATTCTACTCTGTTTAACTAGTTTTGTAACTTCATTGTGATTATATCTGGTGTTGATCAGATTTGAAATTTCATTCTTTTTATAATCTTGAGGAATTAGTCTTGGAAATCGAATCCAATACTTCCTATCTAAACAGGCCCTAGATCGTGTATTCTGTGAATTATCTATCTCTAGTTATTAAGAAGTATGAAATATACTTCAGGGAAGGCATATGCTACTTAGTCTTTGGGCAATTCAAAGTGGATACTTATTTCTTTGTGTGCCCTTAATGTATTATTACAGGAATCAACAATGCGATTTCCTTTCACTAGAAGATACAAAATGGACTGTGCTGGTTCATTCTTTTTTATTTGATTTTAATTTCTTTTTACTACCATGAAAACTGAAAGCAAATGATTGTAATTGTACTGATTGTTTTGTAATTTGGATGGGACGTTTAGATTAGGCCTTGGCATTTCTACACTCTTCCATTGTTCATCTAAATGTGTATTCATTACAAGCTGTACACGATTAATACACTGTGTTATGTTGAGAAGTTGCAGAATTATAGGATACTTCCTGTCAAAAACAAGAAAACGGATTGGTAGAGTGGTCCATTTTAATGTATGGTCAAACCAAGTATTTGGGAAAGGTTATCCACCTAAACGACTCCTGGGCAGTAAATTGGTTTATCTTGCCACAACTATCCTTGCAAACCTTGTGACATTGCAGAATGACTTTTGCACACTTTTTGTTGTTTCTCTATATACTCCCTTTTCATAACCTGGCATTATTTTTCTTGCTTGTGGCACAGGAGGAGCATTTTGTGTCCATTCTCAATTTTTCGTGGCCTCAGGTTACATGTGTGACACAATGCCCAATAAGTGGGAGCAGAGTGGTGTTTGTGAGCTTTTGTGATAAGTCCAAACAGGCAAGTTTTCTTGAACCATCAAATATTTACTGCATTTATTATAACCTGTACAACCTTTATAATCACATTTTTAATGGCCAAAATATTTATGCACTTTATTTCTCTACAGATCCAGAAGTTTGCTTTACGTTTCCCACATCTCAGTGATGCAGAATCATTTTTAAATTGTGTTAAGGTGCAATTTCCTATATCTGTCATCCAACAATGTGTACCTCTTCATAGTTATGTTGTATGAATATTCCATGGACCTCTCTTGCCTATTCTCTTAACTCATCATTCCTAATAGTGTTTTGCTCAAGTGTTTACCACCAGTCCACCACCACTCGCTACCCATTTTTAAACTATATACTTCCATCTTGTAACCTGTAATCTTCATCAATGTTGATTGTAATTTTCTGTTCAATGTGTGAACATGACTACTGGATATTATAGTGGTTAGATAAAACCATTTGTGATGCTTCTGAGTTTTGACATTCCAGTTCTCTTCAAGATTCTCTTAAATTTGTTAGCTCCCTAGACCCTAGTTTACTGATATGAAATCACAGTGGTGAAAGTTACTATTCATACAATTGAAATTTCAGTACTGCTAGCTATAGAATTCATGATACTACAGTAATGGTATTTTCTGTTTATTCTATTTACTAATTTTGAGATTTTCTTGACTTATGCTCTGTTTAATGTTAATGAAGCACTAAATGCATTTCTATATGGTTTGTTTACAAAGGAATGCTCAACTGAAACCATGGATATCAGACCATCTGGAAGTGACTATCTTTGTGAAGATTCATCAGCATCTGAATATATTGCTTCTAGTGGAATTCACCAAAGGTAAATAGTGGAACTGTATCAAGTTTTAGTTGTGGAATATATTTCTGTTATGAGTATTAAGTAACACCCGACTCTTCAAGCTTTGAGGAGCCAGATCAGCCTGTCCACAGAACAGAGACACCAGCATTAGGCTACCATGCAGAACCAGATGAGCCTATCCACAGAACAGAGGCACCAGCATTAAGCCAGCCTGAGACACCATCATTACGCCACCATGAGGCACCAGAAGAGCCTCTTCTTCAACCTCTCCTTGCTACCAACATTGATACCGTCTTCTCTGGTTTCCCCCCCAGTTTCACTGATATGCTGACACAATTTTCATGTAAAACTGAGAAAGGTTAGCAACTTTCTGTTTGGTGACATTCATTGCAATTGCAGTATTTTTTGTTTATTTCTACTTGTTCATTTGTGGCAACATTTTTTACACATATTAAACCAGATGCTGAGGAACCATATCCAGTAACTGCAACGGACCATGCACCACAAGAGGTATTTGTGACTATATTTATGAATATCCTGCAAAATGTTATTATTGGAAGAAATGATGCTTATATTGGTAAATTTTGCAGGTGTCTATGTTAGATACTTCCCATAATGGTACACACAGTCTCAATCTCATTTCCCACTTATTTATCTGGAAAAGTCTGTCCTCTTTCCCTGACCAATCAGTATTTTGTGCAGTTGCAATTTCCACAACTTCTGCTAACGAAATTGATGTTAATAGAGAAACAAGTGATATTATGACAAGGATAAAGGTATCTATCCAATCGATAATTGTCTGGCTTGACTGTTTTGTTTTCTTGTAAATTTGATAAGCAAATCTATATTTTCTAATATATATTATTGTTCCGCCGCAGACATATATATCTGATGGCGCCTTCCATGGTATGCTTTATATTCCTCGGTTTTCTCAACACTTCCTTTTGCTACATTACTCTGGAAACTCACTAATCTGCCTTTCACATGCTTCTATAGCGCTTTTGCTAGTCTTAGATACATTTGTCAGGCTCTTCTATTCCTTCATAACTCGTGAAACTAATTCATTTTTCTCAGCATTCCATTTTGCTAAATGCTAATTTAGAAACTTTCTAATCGAATTCCACACACTTCTACTGATCTGGTCTTTTTGCTTTTCTTAGATATGTTGTTCAAGCTCGAGAGAGTTATTGATGAACTGGGTGGCGACTTGTCACTGTAGATAGTAACATCCTCTGTGGTGGGAAGGCCTTTATTTGCCTATGATCTTATATGCATTGAAGTCGTAGTTCACTTACTATCCCTTGCAGCTTTTGCTCCTACAGAATTTTGTCCAGTAAAGCTTCCATCAAGATGAGAAGTTTATCTTGTCTCTAACATATTGCGTAGTACATCTGAGGACTATCTTGTGTGAAACTTTAGAGTTCGCGTAGTACTTGTTAATCAGCGTTTCCAACCTCTGTTTAGAACAGGTCCTCTGTTTTATATACATGTTATCTGAATTGTTGAGAGCATGCTACCCCATATCCAGATGTGTTATTTTCATGTGTTTCTGTTGTTTTTGCCGCTGTGCGTGTGGGTTGTCCTAGATTGTACACACAATATGCGATGGATTGCGGATCTTGTGCGTATTCCTCTGTTCTTCCTCGCCGTCAGATCTTGCATCATAGCCTGATGCTGATGCATCGGTTAGCATAGCTGCATTGTGACTGCTTGGTCACCATGCCTCTCGTCAAGATTTTTCAGCTAATTGCAACTTGTTGTCAAGCTTTTCTTCAACTAGAAAGGTAGCCTGCGTACATGCGCAGGCACCTTCTTATATAATGTGAGTAAAATTTTATTATGGATATTTATGTGCGGGGTTTTTATTGAAATATTTTTATTATATTCTAAACTAAAATTAAACTTATTTTGTGTTCTTCGAACGCTGGCATTTTTTTATAATTACTCTTGCAACATGTAAATTTTAAAATAAAATTACTTGAGATCATGCAGTTTTGAATTAATAAGAAATTATTGTGTCGAAACAATGGAGGTGGTTCCTTATCTGGAAAAAAATGGAGCTTGTTGCTATTAGAAAATTTAGAGTATTTTAACTCGCCAGAAGGATATCTTACAACCAAAAAAAAATCCAATAATATCATTTTTTTTATTTGATTGTATTTTAAAATTTTATACTTTTCATTCTAACAGTCCTCATAAATATATTTGAACTTTTCTATTAAGAATGGGTTTTAAATCCAACAACAAAGTATCAAGGTCAATTTATATAGGCACGTAGCCCTTATATGCATGTTAAGAGAAATTAATTAAGTTGGTAGAAAGTCGTTAGATGCCTGACGTGATATAAGTAATAGATGGAGGTCCATTTATGTTTTTTTTTGCCTATAAAGATAATTTTAATTTTAATTGTTTAGGAGATAAAAAAAGAGAGAAAAGAATGGTGCTTGCTGTACACGGGCTGTACACTGGCAGGAGTGAAGGAGGTTTGGAATATTTTTCTAAATGATTAATCTAACAACCTAAAATAATGTGTCAGATGTTTATGTCGAAACCGATGGTTGGATGTTTTGTTTTCTTATCAGAATTCTTAGGATTTTCTCTGATTTAAGAGAATGATGTAACATCTTAAGAGCGTTTATAAGATGTGTAGTGGATTTTCAACACCGGATGCTGCAAAGGAGGAGGGAAAGGGGTTTGGGTGTTCTTCTTTGAAAAAAAAATAGATCTAATATCCTAAAATAATGAGTCGATCGATTGAAAATAATGTGTCCATCAATTTATGTCAAATCCGATGGTTGGATGTTGTTTCCCAAAATTTCTATGATTTTTCTATAATTTAAGAATGTCATATAGCAGCTAAGAGTTTTTTCTTATTAAGATTCTCTAGTATTTTCTTTAATTTAATAGCACCACATAGAAGCTTAAAAGCATTTGTAGGATGTTTAGAATGACAGAGCGAGAGTTGATAGACCTAGCGAGTAGAGATCTATTTTGTGGTATTTCAATGTAAAAATAATATTTATTTTAATTTCTCATGAAGATAGCTCGTTGGTACGTACGTGATGGGGAGGTTTTAGATGTGTGTGTTTTTTTAAAAAAAAGGATCTAACTTTCAAAAATAAAATAATAGATCCAACGATTTAAATAAAAATCGACGGTCGGATTAGAGTGTCACTTGGCGGTCTGAGAGCGTCAGTAAGGTGTTACTTGGAGGCTTAGAAGTATTTATATGATGTTTAATGGACTCTTAGTATATAATAATCTTTTTCTAAAATTTTTAAGATTTTATTTAATTTAAGAATGTCATATAGTAGCTTAGATGTGTTTATAAAATGTTTAATAAATTTTAACACCGCACGGGGGTGGGGAGGGAGGGAGGGAGGGAGAGAGGTTTGGGATTTTTTTATTAAAAAAATATAACAACCTAAATGCATCAATTTAAGTATAAACTGATGGGCAGTTGCTTTGTGTTTTTTTAAAAAAAAAGTTCTAGTAATTTCTCTAATTTAATAGCACCACGCAGCGATTTAGAAGCATTCATAGGATTTTTAAAGTGACAGAGGGAGAGCTGCTAGGCCTAGTTGTTGGTCTATTTGTGATTTTTTTTGCCTGTAAAAGTAATTTTGATTTTAGTCTTCTTAAAATAGAAAATAAGGAATGAACAGATGGGATGTACGTGTAGTATATACGTACGTTCATTAGTATGTACGTTGGTTCGGATGTTGGCTTCGGGTGTTTTTTTCTTTTTACAAAATAGATATAACCATTTAAAATAATGGGTCCATCAATTTAAGTAAAAATAAATGTAAAAATAGATGGTTAGATTTTTCTTATTTATTAGGTGCCACTTGACGACTTGTGAGTATTTATAGGGTGCCGCTTGGCGGTTTGGGAGCGTTTATAGGAAGTTTAATAGACTTTTAATATATACTACCTCCGTTTTTTAATAGATGACGCCTTTGACTTTTTCTCACATATTTGACCATTCGTCTTATTTAAAAAATTTACGTAATTATAATTTATTTTGTATGAGTTGTTTTATTACTCGTAGTACTTTAAGTGTGATTTATATCTTATAGATTTGCATAAAATTTTTAAATAAGACGAATGGTCAAACATGTGAGAAAAAATCAACGGTGTCATCTATTAAAAAACGGAGGGAGTAATAGATAGATAGATATTTGCGATGATTTTTCTGGTACGTTTGGCTGTCACATGACCTAGGAGAATACTAGGAATTAAAGCATAGGCAGCCAGCGAAGATTTGCAAAACTAAAACGTAAATACAGCTTCACGCTATGTTTTGTTGCAACCTGCGACACGTGAAGTGAAAAGGAAAAAAAAACCACCAGTTCTTCTTAGGTAAAGAGAGAAATATAACCCATACTACAAACATTGATACACCATTATAGCTATGAAACCAACGATATGAATGAATGTAGATATCTTACAAGCAGAGAGTTAGGCAATTCAACATGTTTTTTTTAAGAAAAGAAATTTAACATATAGTTGCAGCAGAGTGTAGTAGTAACCGTAGGAGCAAAAGCTCCTCTCTCAAAAAAAAAAAAGAAGAAAGAAAAAGAAAAACCATAGGAGCGAGCCTATGGGAGGGAAGTGGAGTAGTACTTGTTTTTCTTAATTAATTTCATTCACCTCTGTCAGAAGAAGCCGTGGAAGCCAGGGATGAAATTGCCCAAGCCCAAGCGAGGCTTCTTGCGCTTTGGCCGCAACGCCGGCATGGACTGCCGCGTCGACGTGGGCTTGGACTGCTTGGACGGCTTGTTGACCAGCCGGCATTGCTTCCTTATCTGGCCCTTGCCCTCGCCGACGAGCACGTCGACGGCGCCGAGCTTCTGCATCGCGGCGGCGAACTTCTCCTGCCACACGGCGTTGTCTCCGGCGAAGAGATCGACGGTGGTCTTGGTCTCGGGGTCCTTGATGAGCGCGTCGTCGGAGGTCATGAGGCCGCGGCTGGCCAGCAGCTCGGAGTAGTAGACGTTGTCGAGCTTCTCCGACGTGCGGCCGTCGAAGCTGACCTTGGGCGACTGCTCCGGGTCGTCGCCGTCCTTCCGCGGCGGGCACACCTTCCGGAGCTTCTCGGCGAACGCCGGCTCCAGCGCCGGGTCGATGTCGGCGCCCTGGGAGAAGCCGTAGATGCGGTTGGAGAACATGAAGCAGTGGGCGCCGCCGATGGAGTGCGCGCCGGAGAGCACGACGAGGTCCTCCTGCGACAGGCCGCGCTTGACGAAGAGCTCCGACATCCGCGGGACTTGGTGGCTGGGCGTCGGCATGTTCCCCGGCAGGTCGTCCATGTTGGAGCGCAGGCCGTCCATCCGCCCCGCCGCCACTTCGTAGAAGGGGATCCCCGCGGCCACGGCGGCGTCGCGCGCCGCGAACGCGAGGATGTCCGCGCACGACACGGTGCGCGGGCACATGGACTCCACGGTGGACTTGGCCACGTCCAGCGTCCTCAGCCCGTGGAGGGTGAAGCCGTTCGCCGACGATTCCTTCTCCGGGACGTCGCCGGACGGCGTCTCGTCGAGGAGGATGGACGCGTCGCATCCCTATATATCCATCCATCAACGATCGATCGATTCTTCAACGTAATACCAATATTAAGGTGATTGATCACACGTACGTACGGACAACACACATGTGTACTGTTAGTGTTATACCGTGACGAAGCAGTCGTGGAAGAAGATGCGGATGATGCCGGCGGCGATGGTGCGGTCCAAGCCGATCTCCGAGGTGACGACGTCACGGACGGCCTCCTCCGCCGACGGGCACGTCTGGTTGTAGAACCCAACCTGGAGGCCTTCGACGATCACCGCGTCGACGGAGCACAGCAGCGCCGCCGCCACTGCGGCCAGGAACGGCCACGCAGCTGTTGAGAGCCTCGCCATTGATCGATCACCACCGGAGTCCGACCGGCGCGTACCGTACCCATGCATGCTCGATATCAACTTAAATTAAATGCGCGCGGTAGCTAGCTGCCTAGCTATGCGGGGCAAGTCGTTGGCGAGACGAAATGTAGCCTCACATTCTTTAGCCGCTTCACTTGCACTGCATGCGGGGGTCCGCCAACATTAGGCAATGCAATGCCAGCCCGCCCACTTTCCAAGGAGAAACTAGATTTTTGATTGATGTCTAACGTTATCATAACTAAGCTTAGATAAGTTATGACATGATAGGTGATAGCATAACTGTGGCTCGGAAATAATTGGCCACATGTGTAATATGGTTAGCTACAAATTTAAGAATGTGACATATGGATCCTAATAAGAGTATAAAAGTGTGGCATGTGATGATATAGGTGCGACAACAAAATAAACACATGTGGCATAACTAAAGTGTGACATGGCAAAGTGAGATAACCAACATAAACACCTCTTTAATGTCTCACATGCCTTTCCTTATAGGTTCCGAAGGTAGCCGTGGGTGGTAGTATTAGATAAACAAAGGTACAGGATATGAATGCAACTCTCCATGGATGATAGTATTCAATGCAATGATAGGATTATTAATGTACTCGCATGTATAATCACATTGCAAAAGCTATAGTAGCTTTTAGGCTTAAATATGTGCAATAAGTATGATAAAGGTATGCTTTAATTTGCCTGCCTGCCTGGCTGTTGCTGCCACAGCTCATAAACGTCTCCAAGTTCTCCTTGGAACCCCGTTGGCACATTTGAGCTAGGGCTGCTCAAACTGAGCCCGGCCCAACTCAATGGTGTACTGGGTCAGGGTCAGGACTACATTTTGAAGCACGAAAGCCCAAAAAGCCACCAAACGAGAATGCTCAGGTCAGCTCAGGCTTGTATTTTTGTCTCAGAGCTATTTTTTGCCTAGCCCCGTTAATTTGATCAGGCCTAATTTGAGCCTACCCAAAACCAAGCTAGCAAGATATACGATTGAAGACTACGAGCAATAGCTCAATTATTAGTTAGACTGCTCACCCAAATTTAAATATTATGGTTCGCATGGATGCTCAAATTTTCTTAGGTTTAACCACATGAGGCAATACATGTAGATGTGGGTGTGTTCAATGATAAGCATGTACGGATGTACCCCACACATCCTTATATGTGAGCCTATGCCTCTAATCTCTTTAGATGTGTGCTAGCTAGGACACATCTACATGCGTGTGTATATACATGAGTGTGGTATGTGTGCGCATGTATATGCATTCGACTTGTGTATTCATAAAATCGAAAGCAGTGAAGAGTCGATCTATGTAGTGTAAAGCAATGAAGCAAATACGTACACGCCTAGAGGATGAAATTGACTAGTTTTTTTTTCTACTTTCATGGTGATTCCGAAATTGGCTCCGTAATTTACAGATGCCAGGGTTTTGGCGGCGCCCAGGCGACTGGGGCGTGGCGGCCATCTTCTCCTTTGGGAGGGTTCTTTGGATGGAGTTCGTCTCTGTTCCACCAACAAAGTTTGGTTCTGTGACGTTTGATTCTGCTGTTCGCATCTCTGGAGATCATGGAAATATCTCTGGTGGTCTTCAGCAGTTTGGGAATCCTCTCTCATCTGGTGGGAAGAGACCTGTCCCACTATGGAAGCGGTCCACGTTCTTAGGTATTTCTCTGTTGGCTATCAAGTTCTGGAATGTTCATGAGACAATCGGTTCTGGCAGGTTTGATCATCTACGTAACTTCGTCTCAGTTTTGTCCTTTGGAAAGACGTATGTGTATGAATCCGATCTGGACTCTGTCTCCTCCTCCTATAAAAACACACCTGTGGTTTCCACAACGATACATCCTTTGCAAACTCTGGAGATTCTCCTGTCAGGTTTTGATCTAGGTTTTGGGCAGTGTTCTCTCAATATCCATCTCATGGCAAAATCTCTCAGTGGGGGCGACAAAGGGACCATCAATGCGATGGTTACCTGCCCGAAGCTGAAGGATGACGCCGTATTGGATCTGGGGAACAAAGAGGTAGAGGATTCCAGGGCTCTGGTGAAAGCTGGGCAAGATCTGGTGGCGGCACCCCCGGCAGATGATCAAGCGGTGGATGTGGTAGTGCAATCTAGTTCGGGCGTCAACTTGGGTTCTGAAGCACATATGGAGGGTGTAGTTTTGGAGGAAGAAGAAGATGCAATTGAAGTGGAACTTGACGAGGAGGAAGTCAAGTGTGCAGGAAATGGACTATCCTAGCGAGATTCTATTCGCTCAAATTCCCCAACCAGGTGGCCTTATTTGAGGACATGGGTAGAGCTTGGCGACTCAGAGCGGAGATGAGTTACAAATCTCTAAAGGACAATCTTTTCATCGTCACCTTTAATGCTGAGGGAGACCATAAGTTTGTTCTACAAGGCGGCCCGTGGATTCACAGAGGAGATGCTCTGATTGTAGCAGATTTCAATGGCCTTTTGAGTCCATCGATGGTCCCCTTGGAGTCAGTGCCAATTTGGGTAAGGATATATGATCTGCCCTTAGTAATGATGAACAAAGCTAGAGGTGAGCTGTATGGGAGTAAACTCGGCAAGGTCAGGGAAGTGGATGTGCAGCAAAATGGCAGCAACAAGCATGATTTCTTCCGCATTCGTGTTGATCTCCCGGTTAATCGTCCCCTGAAAAGACAGATTGCAATCAAAATCAAGATCAAAGGTGCTGAGGAAATCAGAAGGTTCAATCTTCGTTATGAGAGGGTGCCGCACTTCTGCTTCTTTTGTGGTTTCATTGGTCACTCAGATAAAGAGTGCGAGAAAAGATTAGCCAATGAGGCTGAACCACTCATGTGCTCTGCTGATCTACGCTGCTCTCCTCTTAAAGCTTTCGAAAGGAAAATCAGCAAGGTTAAGGCAAATCAGAGTGCTGGGGTTCAGAGGAAGCTTGTGTTCAGAGGCGCAGGTAGTGCTAGCTCTTCTTCAGCGGGGAATAAACAGGGAGACCGCTTCTACACTGACCCACCAAACAGAATCGATGCCTACGATGGTTTTGATTCGAGAGAAGAGGAAGGGGATGAGTTAGTTGACGCTCAACTTGCTGAAAAGGCTGGCTCGCTGCATATGTCTGACAGTACTTTGTCCCGTAAGAACCAAACAAATAAGTTTTCAGCTGGGGATGAGTCAGCATCACTTCCATCATTCGAGATGATCCCGGCCATTAGGAACCTGGGCACTCAACAGGAGTCTACTGAGGACGTGTCCAATGAGGCTACTATCAGCCCAATCAAGAGGAAAGGGTCTGATAATGCTCAACTGAAGATAATGGGCAAAGTGCAACAGGCTCTGTTGGAGTTTGATCAGAGTGAATCTCAGGAAGGATCGGGGCAGGGGAAGACAGGGGTTCCTGCTTGAGCCTCAAAGCGTTTCAAAAAGGATGAGAAGGCTGAGAACACAGCGGTGGATATGGAAGCAACCAGTCCCCGGGCTACTGGTAAACTGGCAAGACCTATGGCTGGGTCTCGCCAGGAGCAATGAATTGTTTAGCCTGGAACTGTCGTGGTATGGGCAACACCGCGATAGTTCGTGATATGTGCTCCTTAGTTAAGGAGGCCGATGCCCGTTTGCTCTTCCTGTGTGAAACTAGGCAAAAGGTGGAAAAAGTGTGTCGTGTGCGTAGAAGATTGGGTTTTAAAGGTTTTGTGGGTGTCAGTAGTGATGGGATGAGTGGTGGTTTAGCGTTGTTTTGGCATGAATATGTTTCCGTCGATGTCAGAGTTTTGAAAGAATTTCATTGATGTGTATGTGCGCTTGTCTCCGGATGATCCCTTGTGGCATGTTACTTTTGTGCATGGTGAACCTCGGGTTGAAAATCCCCATCAGATATGGACTGCGCTTAGAAATATCAGCCAAACCTCAAACCTTCCATGGCTGGTTATGGGAGATTTTAATGAGACTATGTGGCAATTCGAGCACTTTTCAAGAACCCAGAGGAATGAGTCTCAAATGCAAGCCTTTCGGGATGTTCTTCAGGATTGTGAGTTGCACGACCTTGGTTTTCAAGGTGTGCCTCATACTTATGACAATAGGAGAGATGGATGGAACAATGTAAAGGTTAGATTGGATCGTGCTGTTGCCAATAATGGTTGGAGAGACATCTTTCCCTCCGCTCAAATTGTCCATCTTGTCTCACCTTGTTCTGACCATTGCTCTGTGCTTCTCAAGCTTGTTTCAGTGGAAAACAACCAGCCTAGACAGAAATGTCTGCACTACGAGATCCTATGGGAAAGAGAGATTGACTCAGCACAGGTGATTAAAGATTCTTGGTCCAGTTCGAGCGAGAAATCAGACTTGGGGGACATAAATCGGTCTCTCGCAAAAGTCATGGCGGCTTTGCGTTCCTGGAGCAAAACAAAAGTGAAAAATGTAGGTAGAGAACTTGAAAAGGCAAGGAAGAAGCTGGGGGACTTGATTGCTTCAGATGCTGATAATTCCCAAATTCGTTTTGCCACTAACCAAATGAATGAACTGTTATACAAAGAGGAAATGCTTTGGCTTCAGCGGTCCAGAGTGAATTGGCTCAAGGAAGGAGATAAGAATACCAAATTTTTTTAATAGTAGGGCGGTATGGAGAGCAAAAAAGAATAGAATCACAAAACTAAAAGATTTGCAGGGTACTGTGCACCGTACGGCAATAGCAATGGAATCAATGGCAACTGATTATTTCCAGGAGATGTTTGCTGCAGACCCGACCTTGAACCCTGAATCTGTCAGCAGATTATTCCAAGCTAAGGTAACGGCTAAAATGAATGACCTGCTCTGTGCAGACTTCAAGGATGAAGAGATCGCTCAGGCTTTGTTCCAGATTGGACCATTGAAAGCTCCGGGCCCTGACGGTTTCCCTGCCCGCTTTTATCAACGAAATTGGGGGATCATTAAAGAGGACATCATCAGTGCAGTTAGTAAGTTCTTTCAGACTAGATGTATGCCAGAAGGAGTCAATAATACGGCTATAGTTCTAATTCCAAAAATTGAGCAACCTATGGAATTGAAGGACTTTCGGCCAATTAGCTTGTGCAATGTTCTTTACAAAGTTGTCTC